AAAGAAAAAACCAAACCCCTTTGGTGTTTAAGTACCAGAATGTGAACTGCAAAACATACAAAATCTCTATCCAAGCAAAGAATTGTGTGCAGAGTTACACACTGGTAGTAAATAAATTAAAAAACAAACACTTTGAAGAAGTGCTCAGGACAGTGCAGATCAAGCTCTTTCCTCTCTCCTCCTCTGCTCAAAGCCATCACCTTTCTTCTCTACAGCCTCCAGGACCAAAATGGACTTTTCTCATCCACAAATCATTACCTTCACCTCTAATGGTCTTCTGTACCTTAGAAAGTATTTTCATTTCTCCACTTCTGTGTGGTTTTGGAGTGTAAACTCCTGATCTTTCATTGTTTTGATGATAAAAGCCCCAGTGCAGCATTTTGCTGTGGCAAAAACTGTGGTTTTAGTAGTGCTGTATTTTCTCTCTTGTAAATGGCTTTGCTTTCAAATTGCCTCTCAGTCTTGTGGCCAACACCATCCCAGCATGAACATCAGTAAAGTGCTGTTTGTACAGACACTGACTGTGGGTTTACTGGCAATAATGACATTAGAATAATTTTACTCAAGAGTGTGAACACAACACCTGTTGCCAGTTTAAGAAATTTTTATTCAATAGTGCCTTTTAGCATAACTCTGTTGTGTTCTGGGCTGATATGCTATGGTGCATTATTCCTCTAGCAAAATTTAAGATACTTATTAAACACACTGACATAAGCCAAAGTAACAAAACTTCCTCTTTTTTTAGTAGCCATTAATTTATCTGATTATTTGTAATTCAATTAAATTTTCAAAAAACTGTCAAGGCTGTACACAGAGTGCTGCTGAGTATTGCTGTGTTACCAGCTACACACATGGACTGGGAGCTCCAGAAAACCAGCAAACAGACAGCAATGTGGCTATGGAGAAACTGAGAATGCCACCAGAATCACCACTGGGATGTCACATGAATATTACTGAAAGAGGAGGAGCAGTTACTTGTCAACATATCTTCATTTTCTCTGTAGCCTTAAGCACCTCTTTCTGCTTCTGTTGGCTCAGGATCTCAGAAAGGTAATCCTCATCCCAGGGCATGAAACTTAGTATTTACTTCTTCTGTGCCATTCTTCCTATAGTTATTCAGCAATATTTTTCCTACTCTCAAATGACTTGATAAAAGATGACATACCACTGTCACAATTTTGCAAATGTAACTGATTTTGAAAAAAGCAATTTGTTATGTTCTGGAGTCCTAGGATGGGGCAGTAACAGAAACATAACCAGCACATCAGGCACAGCAGTGCTCTGGCCCATGCTGCATTCAAAGGACACTTTTCTTTCTGTCACCCTGGACTGGTGCCTGTCCCTGACAGCTGAGACAAGATGAGCCATGCATGGTGAGCATGAGGAAGAAGCAGGCACAGACACCAGCCAAGGCACACAGGGCAGCTCATGGACATTTTATCTTCTGACTGAAGATGTCACAGGACAGTGGAGTTTCATTAAAACTACACATTCCATGTTTGCTGCTCTTTCCCAACTTTTATTTCTCTCTGAAGGATAGAATGCAAAGGCTTTGCACTTTGCCTTTCGATTCTTTTCATGTGTTGAAACTTAACTGTCCTTGAAATGGCTTTGCCATTAACTTAGAGAGAAGGTCCACATGGCCACAGCTCCCCTGGGGTCTGGAGCCTTTCACAGCTGCCCATGCTCCTCTACACCTGCAGCTAACTGCACTGCAGGCACCTCATCTCCTAAGCACCTCTGGGTTCCAGATGAGTCCACTCTGTTAAATGAAGATGCATCACAGATTTTGTGCTTTCCAAATGGCTAAAAGATGATACAGGGTCACAAACACCAAAGACATCTCTCAGCTTAAGAGATGCACAATTCAATACACTGATCCATTTGGAAGATAAAAATGGTAACAACAGTTTCACAGTCCAAGTAATAAATATAATTTTTCCTCTCTAAACCCAGATGAAAATTGCTTGGACGTTCCTCTCTAACCAAGTTACTGGCCTTTCACATGCAGCTGTCACTTACAGGAGTAATGTTTGATTTATTTAAATTACTTGTTCTGAATTTTCCCATTTCAACAAATGTCTCACTGGGTTTATTACCACAGATGTCTTGGAATATGAAAAATATGAAAAAATCTTAAAATAGTTCCAAAAAGGTGTGTTTCATTACCTAGAACACAGCAGAGACAGTTTTACCTGTGAGAAATTCTGAACCAGTTCATTAATTCTGTTATAAAAATAATTACAAAGCAATATTATTGATGCAATATAAACAGTCATTTTTTCCCAAGCAGCTTTCTCATGTTGACCTCAATGATACTAGTGAATTGGGAGTTTACTCAACTTCAAAGTGCAAGTTTGGTACACTGTAGAGCAAAATACAGACAAAGTCAAGTGATCAATACATGGGATAAATTTGTTTGTATTAATGTTGAGATAATAAGATTGAGAGGCATCCAAAACTTAGGTATGTGATATGAAATAACTTATGTAATGTTCATGTAAAAACACCCCCCAAAATGAACAACTGAAATCCCATTTTAGGGTTCATTAAAGAACAGAAATTTGCTTAAAGAACAGTCTGTAACAGTCTATAAACTTTGCTTAAGCTGAAAAACCATTGTAAACATGCATATATAATACAACTTTCAAGCCTTTATACTTACACAACTGAAATTATATATCTGTAACGTTGGTGCTATATCTTTGGAAAGTCCAGCAGCAATATATACATCAACCTTTTCACCAGCTTATTGCTAAGTCAAGAAAACAGTTATAGGCTCACTTCCTTTCAAAGCAGTCTTATTGAAAGAGAGGATTACACTGTATATTAGATAGAGGGGAAAAAAATAAATCACAAAACCGTATGGTTCTTTTTGAAAACTCAGTTGTTCTGCTAACAAATCAATAGACTAATGTAGCAAACCCTGTGCCTGCACATAGTCAAACCTTTCCTTCACTTCTGTTCTCCCTACCAAAACTGGAGCAGGAATTGTGTCTGAATAACATCTCAGAGAAATCATTTGAACCCATTTTCTAAATTACCAGAATAAAGACAGTAAGTCAGACTTGTTGACGCATTTTATTGTGAGATGGGGAGTCTGGTAAAAAACTAGAAAATGACCATGATGTAACAAGGAACTTAAAAATGAAGTTTCAGATTTGTAACATACATACATGAATACAGGAACAAATTGGCACAAAAATGTTAAACATTGTTCCCAACACTGTTTATAAGATTATTCTAATTTGGCTTACTAAGGAAATGAGAGTTTTATGGTTAGACTAATCTCTTAATAAAACTGCAGAGCATCATGCTATTAGTCACACAGTGAATTTCAAAATTTAAGAGCTTTATATTAAAAACTGGGTAAAGGGAAAATGAATTGATTGCAATTGTAAAATTAATACATTCCCATTTTAATTCTTCTGTTCTACAGTCCAAGGCAAGTATAAATGTTAACATAACACTGTTAAATCAAATCTCAATGCAAGAGAACCGATTGCATCTCTACTTTAAATCTTATCAACTTTCCAAATTTTCATACTAAAATATATTATTGTATTAATACAAACTACAGTATTATACACTACACTGTGTAATAAATAAAGAAATATAAAAATAAGACACATAAATATAAAAGTTTTCTAAAACTAAAAAGGTACATATGTCAGTAAGAAGGGTATTAATACTGCCAGGTTTGAAGACATACAGTACAAAATGTTGCACAGATCTATAAACTAAAAGAAATAAAATAATACTGATAGGTAAAAATCAGCTAACATTGTTAATAAATGGGGTCCATAATAACTAACATTTGAAAATACTTATGAGTCAGGTAACATGTCATGTATGTGTCTGAAATTAAAGTAAACCAATAAAGCAATAAAGCAGATTAGAAAATTTCCCTTGTAATTATTGTAGAGAAATTCTGCAAGTCAGGTATTAACCCAAAATACCACCAAATAATTAAATAATGAAATATACCAGTGTTCTTACTTCTCTGATGGCTGAGTGTTTTTTTCCCCATGAACAGTTTAGAAGTTTGATACAAATCAACAAATGCTAGTTATTGTAGGCCACACATTGGATAAAGGCTGCTTAGAGCCTTGGTAATACTGATAAATGGCACTTACAGCACACAGGTCTTGCATAAGGCCAAAGGAGATACAAAGCTTCATATCATATCCTTCATATTGTTACTACATACTCAAAACACAATTACAAACACTGTTTTTGACGACTTTCCTGTCCTTACCAGTATTAACACTGTTAGTCCCTGCAATCAGAACTCAACGACAATCTTCTCAACTACATTTTTAACCACATGAGTAAGAAACTTCAGTTCTTCTATCATCTGCTTTCTTAAGGCTAACAATACACTTTAAATGATAATATGCTCTACTACAACATCTAATGTCATAAACTGCTACCTTCTAGGTTGAATTCACAAAGGTAGCCAAGCACTGTTTGCAACTGCATTACAGGTCTCTGCAAAAGGGAATTTTGTAGTGCAGAAGTTCTCACATTTTCAAACATAAGAAAATACTGAAGTGGATTTAGGAAATGTTTGACCATAAAAAAAAAAAATCATATAAATCTCTCCCAATTGTACAGATTAAAAATGAATCAACTTAAGAATGAAAATTAATACTGATAAAACAAACAATGCCAGATGCTTGTCTAATAAATCAGGTTTCCTACAACCTGTTAAACCTTTGCTTCCAGAGTCACTGTATTTTTCTAATCTGCTTCATGTTATAAACTTGTTCCTAACTTTGAAAACTGTGTGAAAAATTACTAAGTTTGAGGTTCAGGCACACCTGGATTTCTTTTTTTTTTTTTTCCTTTTCATTTTTTTATATATATATTTTTTTACACAGTAGTGAACAGAAATCACAGTATGCAGGCTACTGCGTTTCCATGAAAAGCATGTATAATATAGAACCAACTTCATTACCAACTTTTTTTCCTTATAGAAAAAAACTAGCATTTAAGCTTTATTCGTTAGTTTCTTCTGACACCTGCCCATTATTTTGTAGAACTTCTGGTTCTGCATTGCTTGCTTTGTTTACAGCTTCATCGCTCTTGTTACCTTCAGTCTTCCCTTCTTCCTCTTCTTCTCCTCGTTCTTCTTCACCCTCTACTTCTTGGAGTTCCCTACATTTCTACTTCTTGTAGTTCCCTACATTCGTTTTCTACTTCTTGTAGTTCCCTACATTCCTTTTCTTCCTGAAGTCCTTCTATGTCTTTTTCTTCTTCCTCCTCTTCCTCTTTTTCACTGTATTCCTCTTCTTCCCTGGTTAGACTCTCTCTCTCATCTGAGTCGATCTGCAGGGGAGACGCCGTGACGACCACGTGCTCGCTGTTCAGGATCTCGGGGCCCATCTCCTCCTGTTCCCTGCTCTCATGTTCTTCTGCCTCTCTTTTGCAATAGGAGTAACGATGATTCATGTGTTGGGAGTAAGACCCTGAGTGTGAAAAACGTTTTCCACATTTGTCACATTGGTAGGGCTTTTCCCCAGAATGCAGTCGCATGTGTTCGATCAAATGGTGTTTGTGTTTAAATGCTTTTTGACAGATTCCACACTCGTGAGGCCTTTTACCTGCAAAACAAAGCACAATCAATTGGATATCTCGTAGTTGAAGTTTTAAAAATTTACACTGTGGTTTTCATCATAAAATGCTGTTGGTCAATGTGTTGCCAACAATTATTAAATTTTATTTAACAAGATGTTCTACTCCATGTATTACCAGCCTGAGTTACTCACCTGAGCCCAAAGGGTGAGGGTGCAAGGGTACACTGTCACAATTGCAAGGGTAATTTGTGAGTTTTAAGGAAAAATGATCATAGAAGGACAAACATTCTTGATTGTAACTTTTAGCACAAAATAGTGCAAATATAAATTAGAAAGAAGATTCTGGCAGCAAACTATTTAGACTCGAAACTGTTTAAACTTTTCTATATTGATGGTAATTTAAAAACCAACCATTCTTTTATGTTGGTTTTTGTGTACCAAGATCTTCTTCCATGTTACAGGTAAAGGGAAAATCATTCTAAAATCTAGGTTGACAGGGGTAAACACCTTACGTACAAAAAACTTGCTGACTACACATGTATTGGCAAGAAAAAACTGCTTTGTTTCACTCAGTTAATTTTCTGCTCTGTATTCTCTCCACTTTGTCTTGTTTTTAGAGTGGCTTATAAACGTTACCAAGAGCCTAACAGTGTTGTTTTGATTTCCATCTGCAAAGTTGTTACACAAAACAGTGTTTTCAAGCATTGGAACAGGCAGCCCAGGGAAGTGCTTGAATCATCATCCCTGGAGGTATTTAAAGGATGTGTAGATGTGGCATTTTTTGGACATAATTTTAGTGGTGGACTAGGCAGTGCTGGGTTAATAGTTGGAGATAATGTTCTTAAAGACTTTTTCCAACCTAAATGATTATGTGATTCTATGATTTTGAATACTGCATTTAACTTAAAACTAGAATGGAAAGAACAATTTTGTTAGGAAAAGGAGGAGTTAAAAGAGTTTCAGGACAGGAAAGGTCTGAAAATAGATACGCTTAATGAATACAACTTGAGAAACTTGATCAAGTGGTAAAGAGAAAAGAGAATTTGTTACCTTTTTAATTCTATACATGAGATGACATTAAAACATGGACAAATATAATGTATAATGTAATATAATGTAATATATTTCAGCTACTCTGCAAGCCAAGAAAGCAGAGTAGCATGAGGAGAATAGCCAAAAGTTCCAAAGAGTTTATTTTCTGGATGTGGAAAAAGAGAAGATACAGAGCCAGCAGGAAAGAAATATATAATATAAAAACCAATATATATTTGGCACCTAACCAATAAAAAAAGTTTTTATTTTAAGACATCACTGAAGAAATAAGAGAGCAAAAGCTATTAAAAAACCCCTAAAGATACCAGAACTGGAGCCAAAAGGAACAACTATGAGAAATTAAAAATAAAAATCAAAGCCAAAAGGGTGTTCTTTAGGGGTTAGATTCTATGTCTAATGAATAGCTGAAGCTGTTAACATCAGATCATTACAAATGTGGCTCAATTTGAAAATCCTTCATGGCAGATAGATACACTGTCTTTCATGCGAAGTATCTCACACATACACAATCCTTTTTTCCTAATTTACATTTTAAATTTTTCCTAATTTATAACCAGTGAAGGTAAATTAGAAGTAATATCTCCTCAATTACAGGCTGTGGCTCACAGATGATTATCCATAAGCTAGATGGAAAATTTCCCTTTTTCTGTTTAGGGTTTAGGTCTTACCAATTTAAAGAAAGACAGAATTGCTGTTCTATCAAACAAATACACAAAACATGGGTTTCAAACCAAAGCTGACCACAGGCAATAAGAGTGACTATTAGACTTTCCTACACTGTCCAAGAACAGGATTCCAGTTGAGCTTATCAATCACACAGTATCAAAGAAATAATGACCTGAAATGTCTTTTCCTAGTACATACCTGTGTGTTCATACTTATGTCTCAATAATGAGCTGCTCTTCTGGAATATTTTGTCACATAAATCACATGCATACATCCCATTTTCTGTCTTTCTCATCTTTTTCTTTGGGGGTGTTGAATCAGAATCATTTTGATCTTCTACATTGGATACTCCTTCTGAGCTAGTGTCTTGCCTTTCATCCTTCAGAAAAATTACAAAACAGGTCGAGTTCAATTAAAAAAAATTCACTGATGCAACCACAATTTCTAAAATGCAAGCTGAAGCTGCACTGTTCTTTTCATTCAATTCCATAAACAGCCAAACAGAACTGTTTAGACTTCTGTAGTGAAAAAAAAACCCCAGAACTCTCACTGCATCATTCTGCTTTTCAGTCCCTGCCACCATACAGACACAGAATTCTCACTGCAACTGCTTTTAATCACATCCAAATCTGACTGTTGGCCAGGTCTAAGCTACACTGGCACATCATGTTTTAAGGTCCATAAAATAAATGCAATGTTAGGAAGAATAAGAATATTACAGACCTATAAAGCACCTCACTAAGTTGGAAGAGGAAATTCACCACCTAGTTGCTCACCCACCTTTTGCTGCCTTGCAGGTTTCATGAAGACTGTATTTTTTTTGCTGAAGTTTTTGCAAAAAGCTATTTTAGTTACCACTCCAATTCACATAGTTGACTGACCTCTTCCTTATAAAACTACCACAAATACTACTCAACCCCAAACTTGTGGGATTTCAGATGTTTCATTAGCAAACAGTTTTTAAAATACCATAATTTTTGCTTTTGCTGCCTTGCAGGTTTCATGAAGACTGTATTTTTTTTGCTGAAGTTTTTGCAAAAAGCTATTTTAGTTACCACTCCAATTCACATAGTTGACTGACCTCTTCCTTATAAAACTACCACAAATACTACTCAACCCCAAACTTGTGGGATTTCAGATGTTTCATTAGCAAACAGTTTTTAAAATACCATAATTTTTGTTCATGTTTCATTAGCAAACAGTTTTTAAAAATATCATAATTTTTATTTCTAAGCATTTCAAGCACTGAAGCTCACCTGTAAGAAGCACAGTCTTTTCTACTGATATCAGCAGTATCACTATGCACAGATTTTATCACATATTATCAAATCTGAATATAGAAGTGTACATGTTAGCTCCTTCAAATGTGTGTCTCACAAACTTTAGTCTATAAGCAGCATTGTAATTCTTCAAGGCTCCTCAGTCTCTGGCAGTACAGAAGCCTGCATAAGATGCTAACAGCCAATTTCTAAGATTTAAGTAGAAAAGCTCAATCTTTACATGAGTCACTTTTCTGATCTGCCCTGTCCCTACCTCTGTGTGCACAGGTACTTCTCAGGAGAACTGACTCTGATCAGATCACATCTGGATGCACCCAGGGAGGAGCAGGGCAGGATGCAGGAATGGCAGATGAAAAAGATAAATACCTGCCTGTCTTTCAATTGAGAACAAATCCACATTTTGCTTAAAATGCCATTATGGTGTAGGACAAATTCAGCTACTCTGCAAGGCAAGGAAGCAGAGCAGTGTGAAAGGAGTAGCCAAAACTTCCAAAGAGTGAATGTGGAGAAAATGGAGATGCAGAGCCAGCAAAAGACAGAGGCCATGGGTTTATATTGCTTTCTGATCAGAATTAGACTGTCTTCGAAACAGTGAGCACTAATGTCCTAGAAGATCAAACATGGTGCAGAACTGAGTTGTCCATGCACAACAGTTTCTCTTAGCCTGGACTCAAGCTGCCTGAGCAAACTAGCTTTGCAGAGGGATTAACAGCAACATCTATTACCCATTGACAATGAAGCTGAATAAACCCAATAGCTTATATTTTTATTTAATTTATCTTAGTTTTCTGTTAGTTCAGCATGGATACAGATTGAAAACATCATACATACATCACACAGGAGTACAGGGACTGAAGTACCTGATTTCCATTGGCTTGGATCTGTTTTGGTGGGGTTTCTTGAACTGCAGGATTAACTGTAGTAGAGTATGTATAAGCCACCTGTGGAATCAAAATGGTTTGCTTATTGGCAGCGAGAGCTCTCAAGCATGGAACACTGTTCTGGTCAGCAATGGCAACAATTGTAGGTAACTGGGCAGTGACTGTAGGTATAGCAATATTTATGGGATTGGCACTTGGTGGGATTACATTTACAATAGGATCAGAGTCTGTAACACTGTTGTCCTTCTGTGGTTCTTTTTTTGCACAAGTTAAGTTCAAAGGTTCTTCTTGGACAGAATAAACACTGTTCTGGTAAACACTAGTTATGGTAGATCTTTCCAACAGTTCTCCATGTTGCTTTGGTAGCGAAAGGTCAAGAGGTTCGATTTGTGGCTCTTCTTGTACACCCTCTGCTGTGTACGTGTAACCCTGTGAAATTCTTGATGAAGAAAGGTTTAGTGGCGATGGAGATGGCGTGCTACTGGGTGAACCATTCAGAGCTGATCCCCCTGCTAAAGTCTGAGATTTTGTTGTACTGACAGGATTTTGTGAATTATTTGTGCTGTTCTGGGGTTTGCTCACATTTGTAGTTGCTGCTTGATCATCATTATCTGTGGGACTGCTTAATTTAACTTCTTCAGGAGAAGATGGTCCAGAAGACTGCACAGAAATTTGTCCAGCTTGCATTTTTTCAAACCACTTTTTTACCACATCCAGTGGTAGGTTTACAGAATCTGCTATTTTTGAAAGCTCTTCTGCGCTTGGTTGTGCATTTAATGCATAATACGCTTTTAGGAGCGATAAAAGGTTCTTTAAAGGTGGCTGACCAGGAGATAAGTTGTTCTCCCCAGTTTCTGATGGGACAGGGGAGTCAGGTTTCTCAGCTTCTGTTCCACTGGGCTGGGGAAGCTGAGGAGGAGTTTTTGTTTCATAGTGCTTTAATTCTTGAAGTGCATTAAGATCTCCTGGACAGTCATCACAAAGAAGACAAGTGCTATCATTGGTCTCTCCTTCAAAGTTCTTATCTTTCTCAGACTTCACTGTAAGATCTTCTGGTAGTTTTTCATTTTTGCAACTATTTGCAGGAACAGAGTTTTCTTTTTTTAGATTCTGTGGAACAACCTGAAGTTGACTTGGCTGCTCCAGGCTGTAGTTGATGATGATTTTGGTTGTCCCATCTTGGTCAACCAAAGGAAGACTGATAGCTGAAATGAGGGAATGGCCAGCTTGTTGTATAGATGCATTGTTGATTGTTTCTTGTTCTTTGGACGCAAGATTAGCATGATTGTTTTCCAGTACTTGCCTTATTACATTACCATCCACTGCCACTTTAAGTACGTTTTGAATGTCACTTAAATTGATGCTTATGGGAGACACCAGACCTACTGTTGGTAGAACAACAGCTTGCACCACACCCTGAGGAGAACTGGTTGCCTGTAAGGGGCTACCACCACTAAAAACCCCATTCTGCAAAGGGGTTGAACAATTAATTCCTGAAGCAACCACTATGGGCTTGAATTCATAATCCACAGGTTCAGTTTTAATTTGGTTAAGAGGAAGCTGTTCTTGCAAGGGTTTATTTTCTATCTTTTGTCGTATCTGTGGTCTTGCTGGGCTACCTGGTGATGCAGAAAGGGAAGGGGAGGAGCACTGAGACGTCTTGAGCCCTGACCGGGCTCGACCATTCACTGGCATCAAACCAATACACTTCTTACTGCTTATGTGTGAACTGTATGAACCAGAATGGGAAAAACGTTTCTTGCAGTTTGGGCACTCATATGGCTTCTCTCCTAAAGACAAAAAAAAAAAAAAAAAAAGAAAAAGAAAAAAAGAAAAGAAAAGAAAAAAGGCATGTACAACAGTTTACTAGGTTACAGCATAAATTTATCAAACAACAGCAACTAGCAACAATACATCAAAATGATCTCTGAGTCCTAAGTGAAAAAAATATTATACAGTGAATTGAACAGTAATTATGCCATTTATAGCTCTGATCCAAAGCTCCTTCAATAAGTTTGTGATTCACTAGTAGATATAGGGTGGAGTCCACATGACAATGTGCTCCAGTATTCCTCAGTAATTGTCTATATGACAATCACAGATTTCACTGAACTCCATTCAAGTAGTACCACTACAAACTTTGGAAGTTGCATAAACTACTTCAAAATGGAAGTGATCACATTTAACCTAA